TGGGGAATTCTGGGAGCTAAAGTCCCCACATCTTAAAGTTGCCAAGGGTGAGAAACACTGATCCAAATGATGACCCTTAAATTGTGGGTCCAAGTGCTTTCTCTCTCTATTCTCCCCTTGTCCACCAGCAGTAACTGATGCTATAAATTTTTCAGTGATGGGTCATCATTTAGTGAGTAATGGGTTGTTATTTACAGAAGCCCAAAGGGTACAGCTAGTTACTGAGTTCCTCTGACTGTTTTTCGGTGTCGCAGAAAAACATCGTGAGATGGCAAAGGCAATGCTGCGGAGGAAGGGGGTGCTTTCAGGAGCTGTTCGGCAACAGCCCAAGCCAGGAGCCGTGAGGTCTGAGTTCATTTCCTTTTCTTGTTGAATGGTGGGGAGGATTGCTTTTCAGGATTGGCTGGGGTGCAGGGCATATACAGGGGGGAAATCGGCAACTTGAAAATTGGACCCTGTGTATCAGGAGGAGCAAACCACTTTTTGTTCAGGACCAGTTGCGTAGGTGAAGAACACACAGCCTGCAAAGAATTCCCCTTCTCCCTAGAAATAATTTCCTATTTAGTATATCTTTCGGGGGGGGGGGAAACAGTTCCCATCATTAGAAGAGCATTAGTCCATTCAGTTAGTAGATATAATGGTATGTGGGAAAGATGCTGCCAGGGGAACGATCAGATAAAAGGCAACTTAGCCCGCAGCAGGAATGTGGATGGGGCAAGAGGCTCGGAAGGGACCCTCCCTAGTTTCTCAGCCTGTAAAGGAGATGGGGGGAGAATTGTACTTTCAAACTTGCAAGATTTTGTCAATGTAGCTTTACAATAAAGTAGACTTAGCTCATCTGGTTGTGATTCCTGTCTGGTTTACCCTGCAAGGCTGACATCAATCTTACTTTTACTTTGATTACTGCTTTACTGCCAGGAATCCCATTTGATATGTCAGGTTGAGACAAAATGTCCTGCTCAAGGTCACTTTGTGGCTGAGATAGGATTTGAACATGGGTACATCTGCTTCTATTCGTGAACCCTGCACCATCCCCTTCCATTCCCCCCTGCACAGCGGTGTTTCATGGCAGTTTCTTCCTCTTCTACCAGGACGGTGAAATTCAACAAAGGCTACACTGCACTCAGCCAGATCTCGGATGAAACCCTGGTGTCCCTTGATTCCGACAGGTGAGAGGCACGTTAGAGTTGCTTGACTTTTTGGTCAGAAAAACCAAAGATGGTTGAGTGCTGTCCCTCAGTTGAGTTGGCTCTATTTATGACTCACAATGCTAATAATCCACTCCAGTCTGAAAAAGATTCTGCACGTCATACAAGTATAACCATGGAATCATAATCAAGGGCTGTAGGATCTTCATCCTGGGGGATATTTAGCACCCCTAGATTCAAACATAATATACTTCTAAGATCTGTGACAGTAATGGGAAAGTAGTTCTCTGTTATGCACCTTTTAGAGGAAACAATTCTGGACTCTCTGGATTGGGGCAAGTAACCTTTCCGGGCTGAAGACCACACGCTAATGAACAGTGAGTGAAGCTAGGACCTCCTATTGAAAATCCCAGTTTCACAGCAAGTTTTGGGATTGTTTGCAGGCCTGGGACCTTAAACTGGGATCGAGAGAGTCCCTTGGGGTCTGATTGAATATGGCACTGTTTTCTGAAATTCTTGTATTGCTGGCTAATTTAGAATTTGCAGGGCGGATACTGAAGTAGGACATTAAAAATGGTGCCAGGACCAAAACAAACAGCATCATGTTTATTTAAATCAGCGTTTCTCAACCTTGGCTGCTTGAAGATGTGTAGACTTCAACTCCCAGAATTCCCCAGCCAGCCATGGGGGCCCTCCTCCATCTGGCACAGTGAGCCCAAGTGGCAGGGACGATCTACAGAATTTGGAATTCATCTCACTAAGAGGTTGGGCAAGTTTTAGAGCCCTGCATTCTCTCCTTGCCCCTCTACCCCCAGAGTTGCTCAGTTTAGACATCCGCAAAGGAAGGTTAGATATTAATGAGGATTAAGGGTCTAGCAAGCACTGGGCTCCTGCTACAAGAAAAGAGGGAAATATCTGATTGTAGTTAGAGCAAAACGTTGGTTATCTCCCAGCTCCAAGAATAAATAGGAAGAGCTAGCTTATCTAAGTAACCTCTCTTCTGGGTGTTCATTGAAAAATGCAGGTCAATCACAGGACAACTTACAGTCTTGTGGGAGACCCGTTGATTTTTATCAGTGATTGGGTAGCTGAAAATGAGGCCTGCTGTATCCTTTCAACTTGTCCTTAATTTTCTTCTCCTAGTGATGACCTGGAATCGAGATGTTCCTCTGGTTATTCCTCGGCTGAGGTGAGTCAAATATTTTATGTAACGCTTATTCCTCGGTTTTGTTGTCTTACACGCTTCAGAGCTCATCCTCTTTGAGAAAGCCAAGGGTTTGCTTGATCTGTCTGCTAGAAAGCAGGAGAGGGTGAGTTCTAGTCCCGCCTTGGGCACAAAAGCCGGCTGGGAGACTTTAAGCCAGTCGCTCGCTCTCAGCCCAACCCACCTCACAGGGTTGTTGTTGTTGTGGGGAAAAGAGGAGGAGGAAGAAATATTAGGTATGTTTTTCCCCTTGAGTTATTTATAAAAAAAAAATAATAAAGGCGGATAAAAAAAACCTAAAAAAAAATCTCACAGAAACGGTTACCCTGCTCCACACATTTGGGCTCCCAAACTCAGGAGATTTTGAGAAGAAGGAAACTGGAGCTGCAGCAGGAAGATTAAAAAACATCCAGGCCACCCCATTCCACAAATAGGGGTACCAGTTGGGATTCAAATGCTAATCCTTATTTACAGAGGCCAGGCTTAATCTTGTACATGCATGTCCTGGAAAGGGAGGACCAGTTGGAGTTCTAGATACAGCCTTGAATGTGCCAGTGAGGTGTAAATTGGAGGTTATTATTCCATATTTCCCTTTCTCCCTCAGGTCAACCAGGATCTCAGTCGCCAACTGCTGCAAGACGGCTACCGCCTGGATGAGATCCCTGACGATGAGGACCTTGATCTCATTCCACCCAAACCCATTTCATCCTCACCTTGCTCGTGTTGTTTTGGGGAGTCTGCCTCCTGCTCCATCCAATAGGAAGAAGGATTGGAGGACTGCACTGCACGGGTCAAGAATTCAGCACTTTTTCTCCCAACCCCCTCTCTCTCTTTTGGATTTGTGGGTGCCTGCTGAGCCCGGCACAGAATCCTAGGTCACACCAGCGGGGCAGGGGAACCCTGGAGGTTAGGCACCTGGAAGGGCAACGCATTGCACTCTTGGCACCTTGCTTGGAGCTCTGAGCGTCCTCTCGGTGGTGCAACGTCCAAGTGTATTGACTGCAGTTGTTCAGGAGGCTGGTGGGATTCCCCTTGCATAGAGTCACTTCTCTGGATAGGCTCGGCACGCCTGAGGAGTAATCGGAAGGCAAGATCTCCCCATAAAAGGTGAACAGAAAACCTTTGTGTGTGTGTGTGTGTGCATGTGTGTGTAGAAGTGAACAATAGCAATTCTGATACTAGTTTTACAAAAGACTGATGTTGCCGAGGTCAATAAATGAAGAAAAAAAAACCCTCAAAGCTGCATAGGGACAGAGGATTTTCCTGGTCTGTCCAGGCTCCTGTAGTCTTGGGTTGCTTTTTCTGCAGGGGGAAAGGTCCTTGAGATGTTTCTGCGTGAGCTCCTTAGGATGGAGATCTTGTCTCGCGCAAGATGGGCAGAGCAGCTGGTGCCAAGTTTCTTGAGGACTTGGGCCTTCTTTTGGCCTCCAGCCAGCCTACTGATGGCTTTGGTGCCTGGAACCATGGATTGCTGATTACATTCCCTTTGGGAAGTAGAAGGGGAGGTGGTTGAAGGTGACTGAGCTGGAATCCAGCCTTTAATTGACCTTATGGAAGACTCCCAAGGCAACTTAACCATAGCAATAGCTTATCCTTTACAGGTGAAGGGATGGGCTCCCTCTCCTGTTTGAAGGTTGGCCCTCTCAGTTCCGTGGGCAGCCTGACAATGAAACTGCTGAACTTAACATGGGAGCGATGGCTGACATTTAGTAGCTGAACCATTGATTCCTTTGGTGATTCTGATGGGACTCGGTGCTGGTTTGGACCCACTTCCTTCCTTGGGAAGTTAAAGGGAATAATAGGGGAGGCTAAGTGAGGAGGACCAGGCTGAGCCATCTTGGGTGCATAGCCTCATTTGTGCCCTGCCTGGCTTGGCCTAATCAGGTTGGTAGGTCACTCAACGCTTTCATGTTACTGAAAGATCCATTACTTTTAACATTCTCTAACCTGGCGTCCTTCGGATGGATTGGATTACAAATCCCATCATTCCCATGCATAGAACCAGCATCTGGAGACCATCAAGTGAATGCAGCGTGCTTTAAATTAACCCATATAAAAGTACCCCTGCATACCCTCAACCCATTTCACCTCTGGAGCTTCTTGTAGGGGAAAAAAAGTAAAAGTTTTAGGCAGCTTGCACGGACAGTGTAAGTGTGCAACTTGTGTGCCAAGCAATAGGAGGGAACAAGGGGGTAAGATCTAATCTTCCTGGATCACCAGCACTGACTGACACAGAACAGAAAGGATTTATCGTTGACCGTTTTAAGTCGGTTGTTCTGAAGCAGCATTTCTCAGCCAAGTGCTTCTCAGAGGCGTGGATGGGGCAGCTGAAACATCCAGCTCTAGTGACAATGTGTGGTGGGAATTTTGGGAGGGGGATCAGCTGTACTCTAGGAGGGGGTAGTGGAGTTCATCACCCTGAACTTGTCCATCTTTGCTTCCTTGGTTGCAGGGGGGGCAGGGATTCAGTGTTGTTTCTCAGGGCATGTAGTTTGATCGCTGAGGATCTAGAGATCTTCAACTGCATCCCTGCAAGTTGAGGATGTCCCAGTGTGAACATCCTGGGCATTTCATTGCTGCTCACAGCCAAAAAAAGCTGTTTCTTCTTCAGACACGTCTTGTGACTCTAAGTCCACATCTTCCCCGGCTTCAGTTGACATTGTCCGGAGTGAAATACAAAGATGCTACTCTGGCATCTGACTTGCTTCCATTGGCACAAATTACGCTGTCCTTTTTAAAGCTACTAGGCTGTCTTGTATTAGTTATCTGGATTTTTCCACCCCAAATCTGGTTGCTCCAGCCTTTTTTTTAATCAAACGATCCAACATCAGTTACTGGCAGGTAGCAACTGTGCATGCTGGGTTTTGTGCCCTGCTGGGGAACATCACCAGCAAGTTAATTTTTAAAAAAGCGACCTTGTGCATACAAGTCTTTGTAGAATTGGCTTGCTAGAGCTATAAAATCTGCATTTCCCAACTGGATTCCCTCCATATGTGCCGGATTGCAATAGCGAGAATGTTCAGAATTGAAGTCTTAACCAGTCAGGAAAATACCAGGTTGGAGAAAACTGTACTAAACTAAAACAGTAACTTTGTGGTTTGGGTTCCCTTTTTTAAAAGCTGCTGTTCCTTTCCTTTATTAGGAACATGGGCTTTGTGGTAGGATCACCACAGGTGGTTTCTCCAGGACAGAAAGTAAAATGTTCACGATGGAGCTCATGTTACTTATGCATAGCTAGTTCAATAAGCTTTAATGACATGTATCTTCACAGAGGCTTAGCATTTAAGGCTTGGATGGGACTAAAAGCATTTAGTCCAAACCCCTGGCCAGAGCAGATATCTACATATATAATTTTGCAGGGGAGGACCGAAAACACTAGCGGCATTGTAGAAACACAGCCTTCCTCAGCTCCCTGCTACAAAGCCGAGGGAATGGATGTTTCTACATATATGGGCATTTTTAGAGTAGAGATCACTAAATCTGCCCAGTAGAGTTTTTTAAAGCTGCCTTAAAACACTGAAATGCATTATATGAAGTTTTTTTTTTTAAACTGAACTGCACAGAGGACAATCTTATGGGATATTTAATATTATTGTATACTCAGTTAATTGTGTGTCCTTTTTTTTTGTACATTCTAACCAAGGAAAATGTCTATCAATAAAATACCTTCTACTAGACACCCTTGTATCTTTGTTTAGCTGAAACTGATCATCTTCTGATCTTGCTAAGAATGCCAACTATAGACTTTTTGATCAGTGTACTCATCCTTATGCTGGGTTTGTTATAGCATGCTAAAAAAACAGGTTCATAGCATGCCACACCTGGGTGAGCAAAGTATTATGGCTTAATGTGGTGGCTGGATTTGCACAGTATGTAAGGCTAGCCCAGTGTTTCTCAACCTTGACGATCTTGAAGATGCGTGGACTTCAACTCCCAGAATTCCCCCCCCCCCCCACTCGGGGGGGTGGGGGCTTGGGGGGGGGGCCCGCCCGGGCCCACGGGTGGAGAAAAACGGGGCGGGGCCACTTCTCTGACCTACACACC